TGAAAATCAAGTTGTTACAGAAACATATAGAAAATTTAATGTAAGTAACAAACGTAAATTTAAGGATATGTTGGAGAAGATATCTTTTGAAGATGTATATACGGAGAATGATGCAAATTTAGCCTACAACTTATTCATGAAATCATTTAATTCTGCATTCTTTAAAAGTTTTCCATTAGTAACTTCCTTTCAAAGATTGGACAAAGATAATAACAATGGTTGGTTTACTACTGGTTTGAAAAAATCAGCTAAAATAAAAAACAAACTTTATAAAAAATATATTTTTATGTCCTACACCCCTTAATCTAGCAAATTATAAGCTATTTTAAAAAAATAAATATAATCATCTTCTTAGAATGGCAAAAAAGAGTTTTTTCAGTGATCAATTTAAGAATTCTGCAAGTAATATCAAGGCCACATGGAAAATTATAAATCAATTACTAGAAGAAAAAGAAAAAAACATCAACAAACTTTCCTCCTAGTTATTCTCATGGGAAAACATCCATTACAAATCCATTTGATATTGCTTGCAAATTCAATGAGTTTTTTGTAAATGTGGGAGTCTCTATTTCAGAGAAGATTGGGAATACGAACGAAAGTCCAACTGATTACATAAGAGGTTGTTTTCCATCAGTTTGCCATTTTGAACCTCCAGATAACAAAGAGATAAATGATATTATAATAGACTTAAATAATTCTGCCGCAGGTCATGACAGAATTACTGCATCCCTTGTTAAAGAGGTAAAAGAACTAATTCTGAAACCATTATTACATATTTTTGCGGTATCCATGGAAACTGGTGTTATTCCCTCTGATCTCAAGATTGCAAAGGTTATTCCAATTTTTAAGTCAGGCGATCCAGGGTTTTTTACAAATTACCATCCCATTTCAGTTCTTCCTTGCTTTTCCAAAATTTTAGAAAAACTGGTATATAAACGTATTCTTAAACACTTAAACACATATAAAATACTGTATGAACACCAATATGGATTCCGTAAAAATCATTCTGCCCATATGGCCCTCTTACACCTAGTTGACAAGATTTATACTGCTTTAGAGAAGAAAGAGTTTACATGTGGTATTTTTCTGGATCTTTCAAAAGCATTTGATGCTGTCAATCATGACATTTTACTTACAAAAATGCATATATATGGATTTCATGGCCATGTTCTGAAGTGGCTTAGTAATTATGTACATAATAGACTGCAATATGTCAGTTTAAATGGTATAGAGTCTGAGAGGCATATGATACAATGTGGGGTTCCACAAGGTTCCATTTTAGGGCCATTATTGTTTCTTATATACATTAATGATCTTGCAGCAGTATCAAAAACTTTATGTCCAATATTATTTGCAGATGATACCAATTTACTTATTTCCAATAGAAATTATTCTGCACTTATGACTGAAGTAAACAATGGCCTTCATGCATTTTCAAAATGGTTTCAAATTAATAAATTGGCATTAAATGTGAAAAAATCTCATTTTATGATATTTGCAGGGAAAATGAATTATAATTTGGATTCAGTGAAAGTGCATATTGATGGCGAAGTAATGATTAAAGTTTCATCAACAAGATTCCTAGGGATATTAATTGATGAGAAACTTACTTGGAAAGAGCATATTAGTTTTGTTTGCAACAAGGTCACAAAATCTCTGGGGATTATTAGAAAAATTAGCGCTTTCGTACATTCATCTTGTTTTTTAACATTATATTATAGTCTGGTATATCCATATCTCACCTACTGTAATATTGTATGGGCCAGTACTTTCCCCACATATCTTCATAAAATTCTACTGCTGCAAAAGCGTTTTGTCAGAATGGCTACTTTTTCCAAGTCATGTGCCCCAACGGCTCCACTTTTTTTGAAATGTAAT